TTAATTAGAGATGGTTATTATTGGAGGATGGGGGATGGGAAGACATTTAAGGTCCAGGAGGAGTCATGCTTGCCATGTGCGGAGCAACCCAAAATTTCCACACCTATTGTTGAAGGATTGTATGCTCTATTGCATAATTTAATGGGTTTTTCTTAGCAAGCTTGGGATTATGATATCCTCAACGATCTTTTTAATAGCAAAGATATGGAGTTGATTGGCAGCATCCCATCCAAGGTTTTAAATAGCCGTAGCGGCAGCGGTAGTGGTAGCGGCAGCGGTCATCGCGGTAGCGGCCTGTAGCGGCCTATAGCCGACTGTAGCGATTGCAGCGGCGTGAAATATTTTCAATTGCGCAAAACATATATTTAATGAGTGTTGAAGTTAATACAAACATTGTGAATATTTGTTTGAACACTTATAACATTAAGAGTTCATTTACACAACATAGACACATTTACACATCAACCCGTTCGTGACGTACTGCCGGAAATGTCAATAGCGGGCTGTAGCGGGCTGTAGCGGGCGGCGTAGCGGGTTTTTCCCGTGATTTGGAATTCACGGCGGAATAGCGGGCCGTAGCGGTAGTGGCCCCTACCGCGACCGCTATATATCGGACGCTATAGCGGTAGCGGGCCGCTATTTAAAACCCTGATCCCATCGAGTAGGCGTTCTGTACCGGACAAGCTGTGTTGGAGATGGGAATCAGGAGGTTCCTTCTCTGTCCGTAGTTGTTACAGGAGGTTGGTTGGTGAAGTGGAGGTTGTTACATTCTCTGTCCGTAGAATGTGGAATTGGCAGTTACCCCCTAAGATTGAAGTTTTCTCTTGACTGGTTTGTGCAGGTTGTCTTCCAACTACGGAGAATTTGCAGAAAAGAAGAGTGGAGGTACCTGTTGTTTGCGGTATGTGTAGTGGGGTTGTAGAATCCTTGCAGCACATGTTTGTTTGTTGTCTGCTCGCGTGCACAGCGTGGCAGGCTGTGGGCTGGAGCTGGTCTGAGCAACTAACAGATTCTGTTATTGAACAGGCACAAATGGAGTTCCAGGAGAGACGATGTGATGGCTCGAAGAATGGGGCTGCTGGGGTATCTGGAATGAGGGGAACCAACGACTTTGAAAGGGAGTTCGACTAGAGGCGAGCCAACTTAGGCAGAAAGCGGCTGCCATGGTGGAGTTGGGAGCAGGCGTGAAAATATGTCCGAGGTGTGGCTGCTGCAGTTCATGTTGATGCACCAGATTGGAGTCGCCCTCTTCCTGGGAGGCTAAAACTAAATTCAGATGCGGCAGTTCAGAATGGCAAGTGTGGTCCTAAGTTGGTGTTACGGGATGAAAAGGGGGATTTCAGAGGAGGGGTGGCTTTACCGTGGAGGGGAAATATTTCTCCATTTGAAGTGGAGCTAGTTGGTATTAGAGAGGCACTTAGCTGGTTAAAAGAACATAGTTGAGATTCGGCTGACGTGGAGCTGATGCGTCCACGGTAATTTCAGAAAATTTGAAGGGGTCAAGTTGCTCGTTGGCGGGGTTGATAGCTGAAGATATTCGAGAATTGGGTTCTTCTTTCACGAGTTTAACCTTCTCTCATGTCAAACGAACATCCAACAAAGTGGCTCATACACTTGCTACGGCTGTGTGTTTTATGTCTGCCAGTGTTGGTTGATGGATCCTCCTTATATTATTTCTCATGTATTAAACAATGATTATATTAATGCAATCTGAATTCACTTTGGTAAAAAAAACAATTACAATTCAAATTAATAAAATTAACTGCATGTACTGATTTACTATAAAAATTGGAAGAGCTAAAGAGCATATACGTAAACCGGCCAGTCCACATTCCACAAGTTCTTTTAACGTCACTCAAAGAATTAAAGTAGAAACAACTAAATTAAATGTATTTAAAAGTGCAGAAGCAGAAAGAAATTAGTGGCTATTCAATATTGATGAGCCAATTTCAAAAAATGCAATTATATTAATGAAAAAAGATGTTTTTAATCTAAATATCATCACGTAGAACTTCCGCATAGCCCTATTTTTCCAGATCGTTTAGTTTCTCCCTAGCGGCTTTGCGTCGCGTAGGGTTTTGTCTCCCTAGCGGCTTTGCCGTCACGTAGGGTTTTCTTCCGTTAATTGTTTGTGCGGCTTTTCTTCTCTAAGCTTCTAGGATAGAATGCTTTTTAAGGTACGGCTCCAGCTTTTGGAAACGAATTCAAGGTTCAAGAAACGATAATCATGCCTTCTATGGATGATCTAGAGAAGCGTTGTCTCATTCCTACACTTGAGGAGGAGGTCGAAGAGTTAGTTTCTGGCGAATCAACATGGGTAGAGGGTGGTTGTGGTAGTGGAGGCGGAAAAGACGACGAGAAGACGGGGAGAGGTGAAGGACTGAGCAAGGGAGAAGACAGATTGGCAGTCCGTCTCCCTCCTGAAGCGCCGCCTTGGAGCAATCGAGGTGAAGGGTTTGGAAGATTTATCAGTTATTTAATTTTTTATGGTTTTATTTTCACGTTATGCTTTATGTTGCTCTGATTTTGTTGATGTCCTTAATTTTATGTCTACAATTATGATTGACAAGTCTGCTAGATATTATATCGTTAGAAGGATCTATAAGATCAGTGATTATTGTGTCACACCCGCTTTGTGGTTAACGATTCGCATTAGGTAGATTCTATGGTACCCATACGGTACCATACCTTTGCCTACATGGACCAATCAGAATGATGCAGTCGAATTATTTAAATCTAAATTAAAAAGGATATAATGATTTAGACCAATCAAATGCGTGGTAGGTACGGTACCCCATTTTTTATTGGGGTACCGAAGATGTCACCTTCGCATTATTCTTTCAGGGGTGATCGTCTCTGAGTCTAGCCGTAGGGTTGATGGTGCTAGTTGGTTAAGGATAGTTGTTGTCAGAGTTTCTCTTTTTGATGTCTTATAAGCGGTTTGTTTTGATGATAAAAAAAACAAATCTAAAGATCGTCACATGCATGCATATGATTTTTTTAATTCACAAGAGTCCATCTCAAATATAGATTAATAAGACAAGCAGAATAAAAATGAGAGAGAAAAACTCTTTACATGGATTGTGGAGAAGTAAGACTGTTGGTATATATTATCCCGGTCTGTTACTGTTCAAGAGTCCAAGACTTTACATATTATGGAGCCCTATCAATCAGGTCCTTTTAGGCCCATTTCGGCCATCCTTCCCACCTAGGCCCATCTCGACCCATTTAGCCGATTAGGGTGGAGAGCCCCCTCTTCCCCCTTTAACTATAAATAGGGAGTTTTCCCTCCTCATCAAGGGCTTCCGGCTTCTTCCCCAACTTACTTATCTCTCTAGAATAACTTGCCCATTAATGGGAGCTTGAATGTTGTACTATGTAATGGTGATGAGAGCCTAATGAGAATAAGATGGCTTGGACATTAGCCTAAAAAGGAGTAAAGGGTCAGTTTGGTACTCGAAGTTGCAAAAAAGGTGTCAAATAAATCCTTATATAGAAGATTATGTCCGGATGTGCCATTTGAGGTGGCTCCCGGTGGAATTTTTTGATAAAGTTTTTTGAGCATCTTATTCATTAAGTCTAGTTTACTCATACCAAATTTCAGCTAAACATTCAATCGGGAAGACATTCAAATGAATTCTTGAAGATAACTGCGCTTTCAACGGCACAATTATCTTCAAGAATTCATTTGAATGTCTTCCCGATTGAATTTGTATCTGAAATTTGATATGGATAAATTAGACTTAATGAATAAGATGCTAAACAATTTTCATCAAAAAATTCCACCGGGAGCCACCTCAAATGGCTCTTCCAGACAGAATCTTCTATATAAGGACTTATTTGACTCTTTTTTTGCAACTTCGAGCACCAAACTGACCCTTATACCGCCTAAAAAGTCCCGTGATTTTCTCCCTTTCAAGTTTTCACGTAAAAATAGCTTGTTCATACACATTTATGCATATATTTACTATATCGTGTTGGATTATACTCAACAAAGACTAAAAATAAAAAACAACATGTTCAATTTCGAAGTTGAAAGAAATCCCAAAAATATGTAGTCATCTAGATACAAATTAAATGAGGTGAGGGTCAGATTGGTACTCGAAGTTGCATAAAAAGGGTCAAATAAGTTCTTATTGTCCGGTCGTCGCCATTTGAGGCGGTTCCCGGTGGAATTTTTTTATGAACTTTTTTGAGCATTTTATTCAGTAAGTCTAGTTTACTCATACCAAATTTAAGCTAAAACTTCAATCGGGAAGGCATTCAAATGAATTCTTGAAGATAATTGCGCTTTTAACTGCGCAGTTAACAAGCCTTGAACATTGATGTTTAGGACATTGATGTCCATGTTTATTGGCTGGAATCAATGCCCAACGTTTAGGACATTGATGTCCAACGTTCACAAGCCTTGAACAGCCATTAACACATCATAATCCACCCATATAAAAGGCTAGTAGGTGCTTTGCTAACCACACACGTTCATACACTTCGTACACATAATTTCAAAGCAAAAACTACCTCTAGCATTCCATAAAAACTCTTCTGTGTTCTGAGCTTTGTTCACGTTCGTTGGAACTTTCGTTTGAGTGCTCAAACGCTTGTTCGTAGTCATCGTATCCTGGGAAACGATCGTTGCAACGCTCCTAGCACCCCGGGAGGCAACGAATACGTTTTAAGGAAATCGTGCGTAGCACGAGCTTTGACTTATTCTGCTTCATCTCGTTTCTTATTTTTCCTTTAAGTCATTTTTATTTAATTAATTTTTATTAATTATTTTTCTTAGTTTTTCGAAACACACCCAACAGAATGTTGTACTATGTAATGGTGAGGAGGGCCTAATGAGAATGAGAGGGCCTGGACATTAGCCTAAAAAGTCCCGTGGTTTTCTCCCTTTCGGGTTTCCACGTTAAAATAGCTTGTTCATACACATTTATCCATATATTTACTATATCGTGTTGGATTAAACTCAACAAAGACTAAAAATAAAAAAATGTTCAATTCGAAGTTGAAAGCAATCCCAAAAATATGTAGTCATCTAGATACAAATTAAACCTACACCTGGATATATATACATAGTATAATTGCACATATATAACTTGTGCTCTACAACTTATAAACCAATATTAAACAAAAAAAACTAAGTAATCAATCATTCTGTGAGAAGAAATACAAATTCTCTTGAATGAAATCCACCGCATTGTTTGATCTTCTATGGTAATCATATAAATAATCATGAAGTCCGCATACTTCCAACTTTCTCCACAAATGTTTTCTAATTGAATAAACTAAAACTCTGAGACACCCCCTTGCCTGAATGAACAACACTATCTCGCCTAAATTGGTACATGTGGAGACAATGTCCATAGCATCTTTAACTATTAAACTCTCTTCCCATGGAACGGAAATGCTATGCTTCTCCCATTTCATTGATTTCTCCAAAGTCCAAATATCCATTACTCGTTCTGCAAAACTGTTACTTTGTATATGAACGACGGCAAGCCGGCCATCGATTTCCATCCATGACAATCTCAAGGACGTTGGGACGGGATATTTTTTTACCTCAATACCCGGGAAAGGTACCAACCCGATATTCTCGTCTCCAACATTGAAAGTGACAATTTGGTGTTTATTTATTGAGCTTACAATCAAATAGATAATACCGCCAATGTGAACACCCGCATCGGGGTACCTAACCAAAACATTACTAATCTCCCTCCATGATTTATCCACTCCGAGAGTTAACACACAATGTTGCCTCTTTAAATAGCCACTAAATAAATCATTCCAGATTTGCAACTTCAAAACCTTGTACTTTTCTGAAACCGGATCAAATCCCAAGATAGAACAAGTGTAGATTTGACTTTTTGGGCTCGTGGCAGCTCTTGGAAAGGATATATGTTGCCTTGTTTAGAATGACATTAAGTTCATAGTATAGAAAAGTGAATCACAACTTTAGTAAAAATGAGAACAACAATACCATAAAGAAAAAATAGTATTTGGAGTCAGTGTAGCTAAAACTTCTCATTTTTATTTTAGGAATTAAATGACAAATTAATAATCAAATATTAAAAATAATACGCTTACGGCATCATAATTATCATCAATGACCTCATTATATGTTATATACACATCCAAAATACTTCTCAAAATACACTCAAGTTATCTTATTTATAATTTATAATTGTCTAAATTATCGTGTCATTATTCAACGAGAAACTAAAGATGGGACAAAGGTTTGTGTAATAGGTAGTACTAAATCATTTAAGTAAGAATGTTTTCACTGGTTGGATATGAATGGATCTGGTTTGAATTGAGTTTGTTTAAATCTGATTTGAAAGGAAACAAAAATCAATCAAAGTGAAAACATCCTAAATACAGAATATATATTATTTGTGACGTGATGGTATTTTAGGCTTTGTTCGTTAGACTTATTTTATTCCTAGACTAGACCATACTCTAACATGCATTATGACACTGAAATAGATTAGAACATATCAAATTTAGACAATAGTAAATTTCACATAATACTAAATCTTATAAGATCAGATTGATTTAGAATTTTAAATCATTTTTAAACCATATTAAACCATATTAGATTACTTCAGTCCAATGAAATGGAGTCTTATAATATACCTTGTACTAGGGTTGCAAATAGAGACGTCTCCATCATTGTTGCATAAACAAATCAAGCCATTAGCCTGTGACCACATATTCAGATTTTTAAACTGTTGTCCCTCCAAATAATGGACCTGATTGGCTTGGAGCATTCCCTTGTCTTCTCCGGTGTCCTTTAGGGTGTAGAAGTGGTTTTGGTCTGGGAAGGGAAGATTTAAGAGGATTTGAGTTCCATTGGGGCGGGTCGAGGATCGGTCGTTGTGCACTTTAACAAAGAGGGGCTCAGCTATAAGAGAATAAAAGAATTTGGAAACACACTTGAATCGCATTAAAGGTTTAGCAGGAAGCCTGGTGAGAATTTCTAAAAATATCTCCTTTGGGAGAAAAACTGTACAAGTTGAAGAAGAGTCCATTAATGTCTTGTGCTCTTCTTGAATATGAAGAGGACTGTTATTATTAGGCTTGGAACTCATCTCCTGCAAATACCAGCAAGGAAAATTATTATGAACTCTATTGAATAAAAATTATTAGGAATCATTAGGTACCCATTATATATGGATTTGGAATCTCGATCTAGTGAAATTGAGGAAGGAGCTATTTACAAGTGACTTAAAGGTCTTAATTATGATGCAGCCATTAAATCATGTTTATTTACGATTTCATTGAAAACTGAACTTGTTGATCATTTAGTAAAAAAACGAACTGAATCATTAAACTACAATATTGAAATTCAACGAAGGAATTACCAAAACACGGGACTTTCGAGCCTGACACGCCAAAACACGGGAGTTACGTTTAGGTTACCAAAATACGTAAGTCGGAATCGGTGATTCCGACTAGAGTTTAGGGTTTATTTCGCGCATTTACCCTGTCGGAATTGGGAAATCCGACTGCAGGAATCCAACTTTAATTAATTCATCCAATAAACAAACACATTTTTTGACGCGGATCACAATCTAACGGTTTGAAGAAGCTTTCGGATCACCATCTAACGGCCTATACTCCAGTCGGAACTGCCTAATCCGACAGGGAGGAATCCTTTCCTTTTCAGCTTTAATCCCGTGAGCAACCTTTTGTCCAGCAACCTTTTGTCCAATTCATCTTGTGATATCTATTTTTTTTTATATAAATAGAATGTAAATTTTACCCCAATACTCACTTACTACATCATTACTCAATTTCAGTTTTTTCAATCCCAAGCAAATCAAAACTTTGGGTAATTTGTAATTTATGAATTGTGAAATTGGACTTTTAGAGTAAAATTTAGCTACAAAATGCTTGAAACTTAGAAAGTGTGTTACATTTAGGATTTGTCTTAAATTTCGGTTTTAGGAGTGTAGAAGTAGTTAATTAAGTAATTTGGAATTTTTTATTGAGATTGTGAAATTGGACTTTTAGAGTAAAATTTGGTTATAAAATACTTGAAACTTAGAAAGTGTGTTACATTTGAGATTGTGAAATTGGACTTTTAGAGTAAAATTTGGTTATAAAATACTTGAAACTTAGAAAGTGTGTTACATTTCAGATTGTGAAATTGGACTTTTACTAGTAAAATTTAGCTATAATAATTGGACTTTTACTCATTAAATTCGAAATTACCATTACACAAATAAGTTAGTATGCATTCTATTGTGAATATCTCTTATTGTTGTGAAATAGGGAGTATAATTTAGGTGATTTTAGATTATATTGTTATTTAAAAAAAATTCTTCAAAAAAGTGTATGGAAAAGTATAATTTATACAAATAAGTTAGATGAATTTGTATTATACGTAGTATATGGAAAAGGGTATCGTAATTATAAACTTTGGTGATTTTAGATAAAAAAAAATTATTTTCGAAAATTACAAGGGTAATAATAAGTTAAACGTAGTATTAGATTATTTTAAATGAATTCACATATGGATTACAACAAATTATTTACATTCTAGATGGTATGGAATATAGCGAATTGAGTTAGATGATATCTTAAGAGTTGGATAAATTATAATCTGATAAATTTTTATCAGATAAATCTTCTTGAGATAAATCCAATCAGATAAGTGTCAAAGTTGGAAGTCTGGCAAAAATTATCTGTCAAAGTTAAAGTTGGCAAAATTAATTCGCTGGGTCCTCAAATTTAGTGCAAACCATCTCTGTAACAAAGTAAAATAAAGTCTATCAAATTCGTATATCTGTCAAAATTCAAGATTAATTTAGTAAAAAATATAAAGTAGTTTGAATTAGTGATTTAATTTAATTTAAAGTCTGTCAAATTCGTATTCTGTAATTACAATTTTGAAATTTAGTATAAAAAATATAGCAAGTAGTTTGAAGTATTAATTCAGTGAATTGAGTTTAATTTTGGTGATTTAAGATTACATTGTAATTTTTCGAAAATTAAATGCCAACACTACATATCATGAGTTAATCTTAAATATTATAACATAATGAGTATATATCACTGATATTAGTAATATATGTATTACTTAGTGTATTAAATACTTAGGCTAATATATTAAATAATACTAATGATGGACTTTTACTCAAATTACCTAGTGTTTATTTGAGATTGTGAAATTGAAATTTTACTAGTAAAATTAAAATATAATAATTGGACTTTTACTCATTAAATTCGAAATTAGTAGTTATTTTGGTAACTTTTAGGAATTTCAAATGGAGCAAAACATTCCGCGCCCAGGGCCTGTTACCTGTTCACTACTCACGTTGCCACTGCGTCACCATCGTGCGGGCCGTGTATGGTATGAACCAGATTCCGAAGACTTGTGCTTGAAATGCGTCAATTTCCCTTCAGCTGCATTCGGAGATGAACCGCGACATGAAAGAGTGATAGATATGTTAGCATATGCTGGGTTCTTGGGGGTAGAGCACATTGCCCGTATGAAGGTGGATCATAGTTTAATATGCGCTTTGGTGGAGAGATGGAGGCCGGAGACACATACTTTCCATCTTCCTTTCGGTGAGGTCAGGATTAGTCTACAAGATGTGGCGATGATCCTTGGTTTGCCCATTCGGGGCATGCCCCTCAGTGGTCCAACCATTAAGGGTAAGGCTCAGTGGACCGACCTATGCACACAGTCGTGTGGTTTCACTCCTCTAGAGACTGATATGCGCAGGAGTGATATCACCGTGAGTGCTCTTACCCGTCACCGGATCCTTTGACGGGTACTGATAATCACGGCAATCGTTCGGACATAGTAACCGCTGCCTTGGCGATGTGGGCGGACATACAACATAATATATACGTTCTTGATTATGAACGACATATGTCCCTCGAAGCAACTAATAGGTACCGAAACTCTTACAAGAAGCATGGTATGACACGGGTTCAGAACCCTTCTCACAATGTGCCCACGACAGGCTACACCCCGACAGCACACGATTGGGGTATTGTGGTAAGTTTTTGAATACATACCATATTCATTAACATATATCGTGTCATATTATTTACGCGTGTTACATTTTTATTCAGAAACAAGGCGTTCACGAGGTGTATCAGCTCTTAGCCGACCGCGCGAGTTATGAGGACTGTCAAAAACGACTACGGCAGATGGCCCTGGACGTAGGTGATGAAGAGATGCTCCATCGGGGCATATTCCATTATGAAGATGAAGATGAAGGTGGAAGTGATGAAGAGGATGATGCAGATGAACATGAAGGTGGGGGTGAGGACTCACAATCGCCCCCTCAATTCTCAACACAGGGTGTCTCATTTCATCAACCACCCCCTCAATTCTCAACGCATCAAGGTGTCTCATTTGATGAACCACCGCCCTATTATGATTCTTTTCAGTACTCCACACAAGCGGATGATTATGTTGAGTCATTTCTCAATTCGTCGTTTTACTATGGAGACACAACGGGGCCTTGGAACACTGGCGGTGGGGACGGAGCAGGGCCGAGCTCGCAACGTTAGATGTAGTATTAAATTTAATATTGTATGTACTGTCTATTCATTAATAAATTACATTGAAAACTACATTTGTTTTGTTCACTTCCATTAAAATTACAAAAATTGCACTTAAAACAAAATCATATTTGTATCTAATTTGACGAATGGATTAAATCAAAATTGCACTTCAAATTACAAAAATTGCAATTAAAACAAAATTGGCAATACAAATGGATTAAAAAACAATATAAAGCAATCAAATGTTTTGTTACTCAAAAAATCAAAATGCTAAGTTTTGATTTTTAAAAATATGTAAGGAATCTAAAAAAACTTTTAAATTTGGCCCTAAAACTATTACTTTTTAAAAAGCAAAAGCAAGAGTCTAAGAAAAGAATGTGGCAAAAAAAAATAATATTCCAGTCGGAAGTGGGTAATCCGACTGGAGGGGAAGTTTTAATTTTTTTTCGAAACCCTAACTTCTAGTCGGAATTGGGAGTTCCGACTCCCGTTTTTCGGTAAAACCTAGAAAAATACCCGTGTTTTGGCAACCCCAACCCATTTTCCCCGTTTTTTGGTAAATCACCCGTTATTATTAGGCTTGGAACTCATCTCCTGCAAATACCAGCAAGGAAAATTATTATGAACTCTATTGAATAAAAATTATTAGGAATCATTAGGTACCCATTATATATGGATTTGGAATCTCGATCTAGTGAAATTGAGGAAGGAGCTATTTACAAGTGACTTAAAGGTCTTAATTATGATGCAGCCATTAAATCATGTTTATTTACGATTTCATTGAAAACTGAACTTGTTGATCATTTAGTAAAAAAACGAACTGAATCATTAAACTACAATATTGAAATTCAATTTGGTAGGCCAGCAGAAAAAATCTGGAAAGGTTCCGATGGCAGGCGGTGGTCGGACAACCTGGGGCAGCAGTGCTCCATCCCTATGACGATATTTTGGTTCAATCACAAATAACAAATAATATTTAATGTATTTTACTAAAGTTGATTTTATTTTTGGAAAAAATTATAGTTTATTTTAATCCTTTATTAGGTAAATCTCTCCCACAAATTTATTAGGAGTATCCTATATCCATATTCAAACTAGGCTAACTAGCAACCACATAAAGTTTTAGGTAGTTCGGTCTATATTGATGGAACGGAGCCAACTAAGAAGCTCTAACGATCTAAGAATACCTACAATACGTACATTATTAAAATAAATAAATTAATAGAGCTTCGCAAAAAAAAAAAAATTAATAGAGCTAGAAGGCGTAGTGTTAAATTGCAAAACACACTAGTTTTCTCATAAGGATTGCACTTTTTTTATACAAGAAAAAAGAAGCAAGATGATTATATGAAGTAAAAGTATCACGTTAGTAAAAAAAATTAACAAGAGTATAATTAAGAGCTTGATGCTACCTAGGTTTGAAGATCTGGTAATTCATATGACGTTCATATGACGTGTATGCAGTAGCATGATTCATGATGTGAGGTTCCATAAAATTGCTTTGCATGTACAATTTTGATTATAAAATTTAGAATGAAAGCAAGTATATATAGAACAAACTATTCCATTAAAGAACCCTAACAATAGCGTGCTGCGCTGACGTGCTGTACATATACTACCGGACTACCGGTCTTCTTGTTTAGGTCGGCCCAAAATTAAAATGCATAAATTTTTTTACGTGTATATAGGGAGAGGGTTTCTTTTTATCTTATTTGTATTGTTTATTGTTTATTTTATTTAGATCAAATCATACAAAAAAGTCAAATTAGATCTGGTCATATCACAAAAATTCAATCCGGTTCAGATAAAAAACATCACATCAGGTCTAGTTATATCAGATCAGAACATAAAGGGAAAACTGTCAAATAGGTCCTCGAACTTTCATAAAAAGGTCAATTAAGTCCTTTTATAGGAGGTTCTGTCCGGCCGTCGCGATTTGGGGAAGTTCCCGATGGAATTGTTTGATGAAATTTTTTGAGTATCTTATTCACCAAGTCTAGTTTACTCATACCAAATTTCAGCTAAAAATTCAATCGGGAACACATTCAAATTAATTCTTGAAGATAACTGCGCATTTTTGCGTTCTCGAATTAATTTGAATGCGCTCCCGATTAAATTTTTAGCTAAAATTTGGTATGAGTAAAATAGGCTTGATGAATAAGATGTTCAAAAAAATTCATCAAAAAATTCCACCGGGAACCGCCCCAAATCGCGACGACCGGACAAAGTCTCTTATAGAAGGACTTAATTGACTTTTTTATGAAAGTTCGAGGACCTATTTGACAGTTTTCCCGAACATAAAGATTCATACCAGATTTGTGCGAATTTAAAAGTTTTAGATTAGAACAAAAACATTCAAATCAGATCAGACCAGAAACATTCAGATCAAACCACAAATATATAGATCATATAAAAAAAGTTCAGACATGAATTATTATTAATATTCTTCTTCTTCTTCTTCTTCTTCTTCTTCTTATTATTATTATTATTATTATTATTATTATTATTATTATTATTATTATTATTATTATTATTTGCAAGAAACTAAAGTAATTAATATTAATTAAATCATTGTTCAAAGCAGATACAATAAAAAACGGTGGAGAAGAAAGCCAAGATCGCGAATCAGACAAAGAACAAGCTGCTCTGGCTAAAGCATGAGCAGTCTTATTCGCTGAACGCTTAATATGACAAAAAGTAATGGACGAAAAATGCTTCGCCATTTCTCGAATGTCATCTCCTAGTAAACGAATCGAAGAACAGCTAGAACCGTGCACAATCTCTCCAATAGCTCGGGATGCATCTGCCTCCACCTCCACCGAGGATTATTATTATTATTATTATTATTATTATAAAGATTCAGATGAGATCATATCAGAAGATTAAGATTATATCATATTAGATTTTGAAAATTCATATCAGAAACATTCACATCATGCGAATGGAATAATTTCATAATGTCCACCTTAGGTAAGGGGGTTTCTCTATTAAATTTCATAAGATTTTAAAGGATTGAGACTTTAATGTAATTTTATGAAAATATATAGAATGCATGAGATTGTAATAAAAATTCATGAAATTGAAATCCTCTCACCATTTGGCTTTGACGCCCAAGGACACTAACGATATCCAACGACAATGAATCCTAGATGGAGCTTCTGAACTTCCAGACTTACACGTACAGTACACACCCAACATACTTCTCCTTTAGTTAGTCTCAATCTGTATCCGAACCAATCTCGGAGAGGTGCTTCTCACTCTTGACGAAGAAGGAAAGGATGAAGATTGGCACCATATATATACACACATTTGACAGGGTGTCGTTATACACCCATCCTAGACTTCGTGCTTTGCTCTGCTTCTCCACGTGAAATCTATTGAAATCCGGAGGTAATGGTTAGAGTTTGGTTAGATTCTTTTGCATTTTAGCGTTCGAAATTCAAATCCATTGAAATCCAGGATTAAAAAAAACCATGGACATTTTGTGGACTAGAGACGATTTTGCCTAATTCCATTAGATTCCAGATTGATCATGAGATTCGTGAAATTGTGACAATCGTATCTTTTAAAATCTTATGGAATCATAATTGATAACATCCTAAGGCCATCTATAATAAAAAGGTATTAAGAGTCTAAAATGCTAAAAATAGAAATTTTGGACTCCTAGAAGTGTACGTTGTAGCACATTGAAGAAGTGGGAAAGTGGAGATGGGATGGGGGATGGGGCCATGGGGGAGGCGGTTTTGGAGGGATCCGGTTTCTCTGCCTGGATTTGGCCGTCAGATACGATATTTGCCGATCCTAAAGCGCTGCTCCTTTTCTTCTGTAAAAATATAGCCTTATATTCTTTTTGAGTAGTTTTAAAATAAACATCACACTTCTATTTTTGATAACTTTTCAATATAAAGTTTTCTTATACCCTTATTTATTACCTACTTTACATCATCCACTACACTTCATCTACTTTTTTTTTGTGAGGCGCGGGGGGGGGGGGGGGGGGGGGATAATGAGAAAATCAAAACAAAAAATTCAACTTTTTTAAAAACCGTAAAGTCAAACTATGAAGTTCTTTTGAGACCGTAAAGGGCCAAATAGACCCTTTTTAAAATAAAAAAAAGAGCTATTTCAAAAATATTATTGTGTATTAAAATAAAACTTATGTATATAAGTATGACTAATAGTTATAAAAAAAATAGTGTCATGATAATTTAAAATTTGAATAAAATTAATATTTTCATTATTACTCTGATCACTAGTCACATTTTTGTAATGAATGTTTATTATAGTCATAAATATGTAATGGTTTCACAGAAAAAAGTTATGTAGCGTAAATTAGACCGATGAAAAGTGAAATACCGGCTGATAAACTATGTGGCAATACTGACTAAATGACCGAGAACCAAGGCCCCCAATCCACCGGCGGCTAACTCTCCCTCTTCACCTGAAAGCCTGCAATCCGACGACTAAACAAATCACAACCTTTTTTCTCTGCCACAATGGCTGCTATATGTAGTTTTGCCCTCTCCTTCCATTTCCATTGATTTTCTTACGCTCTGCCATAGCCTCAAGGTCGTATATATGACACAAAGAATTTTTTATGGGATATTACTGTTTGTTAAATGCTGTGTGAGTAGGAAAAGATTTGAGGGAATTAGATACGTTATTGCGAAATATATTCTTCAAACGGTATGTTATAACATCACTGACAGAAGGAATCATGATGTAAAAGAGTGTGGCATTAACTATTTTCCGGTTTACTGTTACGTGTTTTCGTAGCGCGTTTGGTAATCTTAATTTTCGGTCGATAAAAACCTAACTTCTAATTTCGCGCGCTGAATTGTTCAATAATTTTAATAAAAAGTAGAGAGAATTACCTAAATAAGACTAAAAGAATGTAGAATTGCAAAAATAGGACATAATGTTTTAAGTTTCCTTAATAGGACTAATTATTTGTTTTTGGACCAAAATAACCTTCTTAATTCCTGCTGCATTGATTCGCTGGGTGCGATCAATCTCGCTTGCGATGGACGGATGTCTCTGCCCAGGTAAGTGTCTTCATCTTTTCCCTTTGCTCCTCCCTTAACTTCTTCTCCTTAACTTCTTCTCAAGCTCTCATGTTTTCTTCTTCTATAACTTTTCTATTTTCTTCTTCTTTTGGATTTCCAAATTTTTATTAATCCTGAATTTTATTTATTAATTTGGATTTTTGTATTTGAATTTTATTTATTAAGAAAAATGACACTTTTATAATATGAGAATGTCAAAATCATTGGTAATTTGAAAAAACTGTCATATTTCTGGAAGTATATTTATCAGGGTGACAATCTCAAAATGTCATTCTTATGGCATTTTATGGCATACGTGAGAATGCCATGTTTGGAAAAAAAATGTCACCTGCAAGGCAATACTATGGTAGTCTCACTTTGAAATTATAACATTTGTAATGCCACCTGTAAGGCAATACTATGACATAAAGTAACAGTTTGATGTCACTTTTGAAGGTGACAGTTTCAAAGAAGAAATTTCAAAAGGGGAAAATGTCATTTTCATGACATTTTTAAAACAAAAATGACATTTTCAGATTGTTATCCTCATAAATGTACTGCCACAAACATGTTTTTTTCAAATAACCAATAATTTTGACATTCTGAGATTAAAAGGTGTCATTTTCCTAATTAAATAAAATTTAAATCCAAAAAATCCAAATTAATAAAATAAAATTCAAATCAAAAAAATCCAAAGAAGAAGAGAACATAGAACCGGAAATTTGAAGAAGATTAGAAGAAGTAGAAGAAGAGGAAGAAGAAGAAGAGAGGAGGAGGAATTTACCTATGGTTGACGGCGGAGCTGGAGTCCATGGGAGGAAGGGATGTGTAGAATTGGTGCCATTAATTGTAGTTGACTGGGAGAAAGCAGCGACGAAGGGGGCAGAGTAGCGATGAAGGCCAGGGGGCAGAGTAGCGATGAATTGCAGAAGAGAGAAATAGAGTTTAATTAAAGAAGGGCAAAACTGTAATCTGGAGTCCTATTTAGGGAATAAAAAACTTAAAGTCCTATTTTGGAGTTTAATCCATGTTTTAGTCCTATTTAGATCAATTTCTATAAAAAGTAAGGTTGTAGTTACTTTTCTGGTTGTATCGGCTGAAGTTGTTGTAGATGATAATTTTAGCTATTTTTATATTTAATTTTTTATTTATTCTTGTAATAGCTAGAATATATTTTAAATATACTCCCTCCGTCCCTAAATAAACTTCCAACTTTCCTTTTTCGTCCGCCCCAATTAAAACTTCCACTTTCCCTTTTGGCCAGAATTTGTGGTTCACAACAATTCTTACACATTTCTCTCTCCTCTGCACAACTCTCCATCACACAATACTCACTATCTTAAACTGTGTGCCAAACCTATTTGGAAGTTTTATTAGGGACAGAGGGAGTAATTTTTTTATAAATCAACAGAATCGATCAATTCAGCCAGAAATTTATAAATTTTGGCAGAATCAGTCGGTTTTGATATTATCAAATGGGCTATGGCTCTATTGTGCAAAGTTTTTTCTTTACGAGAATGAAGAACTCAATTTGCCTTAGGCCTCTTGGTAACGCTGTTTTTCGGCTTATCAGGCTTATCAGACAACTTTTTCACCAAACACGTACTCCCCCCGTACCGTTTATATTGTCTCGTTTTACCTTTTCGGGAAGTCCCACTTAAATTGTCTCATACCATATTTGTCAAAGTTTGTGTGGTTCTAAATCATTCTTACTTTATTCTTACTTTATCAATTAATATCAACCACACAACTCATTTTTCTTAATAACCGTGTCACCCTCTTCCGTCCCAATATAAATGGGACGGAGGTAGTAACTTTTACTTTCGTGTGCTGAAAAAGTAAGACTGGAGTTACTATACTTTTCTGACTGTATTGGCTGAAGTTGCTATAGATGATCATTTAGTTATTTTTACATATACTTTTTTTCTTTATTTTATTAAAAAATAATAAAAATAATTTTTTCTTAAATCAGCAGAATCAGCCAATGCAGCCACTTCAGCCAGAACTTCATAAGTTTCAGCAGAAACAACCAAAACAACCGATTTTCGTGTTACCAAACGGGCTCCAAAATGGAAAGTGATTATTCCATGTCTCATCAATTGATGCCTGGCACTACTTCTCTTTGAATTGATGATTTATACACAAGTAAATTCTATTAGTCCCAACAAATGTCCTGGCTTGTTTAGTAAAGGAAAATTGAATTCAGAAAACAATCATTTTTATATTTTCTATTTTCAAAATCATAATACAGAAAACATTGTACTTCACCAGATTTTAATTTTAGAAACAGAAAACTGCTTTCCTTTATCTCTGTTTTTCATAAAATTAAGAAACAATTTTTAATGCATAGCATTACTAGTGGAGTGGTGGCCTTGACACCACCACATGTATGATATTGGACATGTGTTAGGAAAAAATGATTTCCAAATTATTAAAAAATAGAGAATAGTAAAACTAGAAAAACATATAACAAAATATAGCTGGAAATAGAAATAGAAAACAAGGAAAATATAAACGTTATACAATGCAGAAAACAGAAGTAAAAGAACCCATATGACAATCATAGTCAAACCAGTTTTAAGAAGTTACGTGTTTATCGACCGATTATTGAACAATTCAGCGCGCGAAATTAAAAGTTATGTGTTTCTTTGCCATCTTTTCTATGCTATGAAAAGAGAATGCTATTGATAGCATAGTATTGGTGACTCAGGACCTTGGATCCCAATTTACTTAGTCATCTTAGACTTCATTGATTTGAAAAGTCAAGTTTGACTAGGTAAAATGGGACGGAGAGAGTTTGATTCAAGGTTAATGTAAAGTTGTACCTTGCTAAAATTTCAGAAGTCATAAAGTTGATCATTACTCATAAGTATGATGTATGAAGTATGATCAATGTCAAGTCAAATAATATCTTTCCAATGAACTGAATACACCATGTATTATCTATGAAAGTCATTTAACGTTTTAAAGAAGGAACTTTTTTAAAATAAAGTACATGTTTAACAGGTAAAGAGAAATGGATCCAAGGAAAGGATGGATAAATCATGGGATCCAAGGTCCTGAGTCCATTGGTGATCACATGTACCGCATGGCTCTAATGGTTTTGATCGTCCACTTTCTGGAGTCAACAGGGAAAGTTTGACTGTAGGACTCCATTTTGGTTGATGAAAGTCATGGTTGCTTCTCTGTCAGCTTGTCATTGAAAATGTATTGATGCTCAAGTAAAAAAAATTCGATTTCATATTAATGCTCATTTTTTAAATTATGTATGCTCATTTGGTATTAATGTTATGTCCATCTTAAAGTGTCATATCAATTCATTTTATTAAATGTCTCACATATTCAGTTGAGTATTAGCAGAAGTCGCGATTTTCAATCAAATTACGAAAATGTCATTGACTATACGATATACAAACTCATACTATTCCACATAATACATATACCTTGTGACCTAAAACATTTCAACCAACATTAAACAAAAAAGTAACTAATCAATCATTTTGTGAGAAAAAATACAAGTTCTCATGTATGACATCCACTGATATAAGATGATCATATAAATAATCACGAAGTCCGCATGCTTCAAACTTTCTCCACACATGTTTTCTGAATGAATAAAGTAAAAGTCGTATAGATCCCCTTCGATGAAGTAACAACACTATTTCCCCTAAATTAGTGCTTGTGGAGACAATGTCCATATATAGAATATGTAACTATTAAACTCTCTTCCCATGGAGCGGAAATCCTACGCTTCTCCCATTTCATTGATTTCTCCAAAGTCCAAATATCCATTACTCGTCCTACGAAGTTCTTACTTTGTTTATCAACGACAGCAAGCCGGCCACCGATTTCCATCCATGACAATCTCCACGATGTTTTGATAGTATATTCTTTCACCTCAATACCCGGGAAAGGTACTGTTTAGGCAATAAATAATTAGCCTAAAAAAATCACTTTAATGTATGGGAATCGTACAAGAATAACCCAAAGAATAAAATAGCTAAAGATAAGTAATATATTAATAAATCTGAATGTTATAATACAATCGTATTAGTATGCTTTTTGAACTAAATTGATCATGAAAAGCTTCGTATATGAAGATTGTAGAACTAATGGTCGATTGCCCCCTCTCCTCAGATAATGCTCTCAATTTATACTTATATAATTGCTATCATGAGGCTAACGTGCCTAACTTCCAGGCACTTCCTCCTCCTATGCCATGGAATTAGGGAATTTGTTATCTACTTATATCACTTCGTGCCACCAGCCAAGTCAAACCTCCAAATCCTTATCCATTTAGCCGAAGTGTTGGATCGAGTCACTAGATTATATATTTGCTTGTGGGCTGGACTCCAAATTAATTTCTTGAATTATTTTGTGGCCCAACAATTGCCCCCTTTCGAGAAGTTGAAGCGTATGGGCGCACATGTCGATCCGCTAAGCATCAACTTTTCGAAATCTTGAAAGAACTTAAACGGTCATCACTGATTGTTGCACTTATAGACTAGTCATCGGTTTGACAAGACATGTCATCAAATGTCAACCC